TGATAATGTTAATCTATACTGGTTAATTTTAAGTAGTTCTTTTGGAAACTATTCAATATACATTGGCATTCATTTGGAATCCAATTGAAGTATTCTGATTTCAGATATTACTATTTTCCGTTAAATAGTAGTTATTACGATCATATATTTGATCAAGTTGATGAAAGTCTAAGAGAAGATAGATGATGTTCAGGTATATCCTCACTTTCAATTTTCTCTAGAATAGTACTTAGACAATAAACTATTGAAAATGGATATGAAACTATATTTACTATTATATATGACTTGTATTAAATAATTGTTTGAATAAAGAATAATACACCTACTGAGATAGAAACAATTCTACTATAAAATGATTCGAATGAATTTCGCCAATCAATTTTCTCCTCAATACATTTAAACACTTTAAAGCCATGAAATTTACATTGAATATTTAATGAACCACTTAATAGTTGTAACTATCTTTTATTGTATAAAGCAATTTGGAAAATGTTTGCATATTTGAAAGATTTTTATGAACCTAAAAGTTGGAAATACTTAATGAAGTACTGTTGTTAAGATAATTTTGAGTTTTGAATTTAAATACCACACATTTTGTTTTGTAACAATTGAATATTGTGGCAACGTTTATTTCAAATTCTAGATGTACACTATTAAATTGTCTCACTTTAAGTAATAAAAAGCGTTATATCCCGATGAGAATTATGAATGGAAACTCTTGAGAACTATTTATAGATCAATACGATACAAATATTTTTATTACATAATTCTTAAGTGGTTAAACTATGCATATTCATGTTCCTTTTATTATAAGCTTTATTTTAACACATAGACTATTTTTATACGATTTACCGTTCTTGACTTCTGCCCAATCTATTAATTGCAGTCTCCCACATTCACAGACACTTTTGGCTAGATCTTGTACAAAAGTTAATTTCTATTTAGTGGTAAGATGTGGCCTGTTCGGCTTATATATAAACACAGTATGTTTGGAATACATGATTCGTATTGCAGAGGCTGAGATTGGTGCTCTGGACTCAACAGTCAGGCCTAAGAAGGAAGAAGGACCGATAAGAACTGTAGAATGCTCGTACAGGTTTACGCGTCATTGGTCCGATCGACAAATCACTGTTCTTTAATTGGCGTTATATACTAATAGGGCACAAGGCTACAAGTTATAAAAAAAACTACACTTGTATTACTGAATACAACTAGTTAACTCAGACATATAATTATCGAAACAACAGATTACTGTTGAAATTTTGATTTATTCTGACAGATAGTTTGAAATATCTGTTAGAATGTAGTAGAACATGATCTAAAATGAAAGAAAATTACTATATCCAAAGAATAAAATTCCCTATCTTATAATCCAAATTGATAAAAAAACATTCAGAAAATAATTTTGTCTATGAAAGAATAAAACAAAGGTATATGTTCACTTGATGTTGTTTTACTTGTAAGTTCTCATTGTTACTTAGGACTGCAACTGATCAGTCTCATGTTGGCATCCTTTGCGGATTGCCTCGATAAAGCCCTAAGTAAAATAACACCAAGTGAATTTAAACTTCACCCTATTACACAAGTAGGTGGCTCTCAGGACTCAGTAGCTAAGTGGATATCGCGATGGTATTTGAACCGAGTCCTGGAGTGAACACGAACTTTGGGATGCAGGTACATCAAGCTGACGAGTCCCAAATAGAACGAAACACGCGTCCTGGATTCCACTACTACCCACTATCCATCTTTGCTTAAAAAGGTTTATATTATTACATTGTATGTCGATGAGCTGATTTCATTGAAAAGCATAATCATGATGTATGTTGATTGAAGAAGGGAATTTTAACTAATTAAAAAATTGAAAAATATCTAAAAAGTTGGGTAGAATTTAAATTATAGTCATATATTATAAAATAATGTCAGAGAATATAAAGGATGGCAAACAATCTTTACATAGTGAGTGATTAATTCCTAGAGTCCAACATTATTTCATCTAGCTTTTAATGTTGATCAATTTATACCAAATAGATTACAAATGAAATTACTAGTGTCAAATCTAGGTGTGTGTTTTCTTTTCTGTTCTCATGTCAAATAATTGGAAACAGTCGTCAGGCGACTCTTTATCTACGTTTCATATTAATCGACAATGATCAGTAAAATATATCTGTCGTTTTAAATTGACTTTCACTAATCATAAAATTTGGACGCATCTCACTTAGTATTCAAGTTGAATTAGGTTTATACAAAATAGTATGAAAATCACGAGATATAATTTAATACTATATATATATAATGGTATTTCCAATATCCGGTTGACTATGATTACAAAGACTATAACCATTGACTAACTGACGAAATTATCTGTTCAAATCAATCTATTTTCATTTATCATTATCCATAGAGTATCAAAAAAACAAAACAAATAACAGTCAACATACAAATGAATATAATAGTAGTATTGATATGATAGTTATATAAAATAATTAATCAACTATTTTCATTCATTCATTCATTCATTCATTCATTCATAGTTACTTCCTATTTCTTTCATTTCATTCTTTATTATATGACTAAAAAAATTATTTATTATTCATTCATAATTTAGATTTAATCAATTCTCATACGTTTACAATAGGCATTCATATTGTTGGTTACTTTTTCTTAATGTCTGTTATGAAATCTAAAAACAAACAAACAAACAAGCAAACAATCTGGACATTTTTTCAAAAATAAATAATTTCCTGAATCCCATGAAGATTTTATTAAGCCAAACGAAAAAAATAAAAAAAAAGAGAAAACGGATCATAAATAATGATCAACATAATAATACACAATAAATAAATAAATAATTTCCTGAAAATAAAAATAATCATGTTTTTTGGTGGAGTTTTGTTCTCTGAGCTGGATGGTTTGGTCAGAGAACAAAAACTCCACCAAAATCATCCATCTGAGCTACAAATTTTCTCCACCATCTCAAAATCATGTTTTTTTTCTTAATAAAAAAATGTACTGTGAAATGCAAATTAATATATAATTATATTAGTCTTTTTCAATCCCCTATTATGGTTAGACCTATACCTTCATCATTATTGACTGATTTTTTTAAAAAATATTTCTGAAATGATGTAAGATGTAAAATACTTTTAATGTTATTATTAGTTTATAAGGTTATTGTCCGATAGAACTTCATTGATAAAGGTTTAATTTGTTAAAGAGAACATGAATGAAGATTGATGCAGAATAATATGAATTCTATTCTGTTTCATTAGGTTCTCATCAGTGGCTTACAATATTGTGAAATCAACGTTCTTGCAGATATTGATATACTTATATATACGAAGGTAATTAAAGATGAATATGTGTATTATAATGAGGTGAAGATTTCAATATAGTTAATAAGATCATAAAAAGTTTTGTTTAGGATAAATAAAGATTGAGAAGGAAAGTTCCAGAACATTCAAATAGTGATTAGTAATAGAAGCGGTAGTTCCTAGATAGTTTCAAGCTATGTGTATACATCTTTTCAATGCTATTGTTCTTATTTCAAGCATTTTACACGACTGAAATTATTTAGTTTGGCTTACTATGCATAGGCATTTTTCCAGAGTGTACACAACTTTGTGTTGGCTTTCATATACATTAGTTTAACAGGTGATACATTAACTTACAGTATTATTCATTCGAGAAACCGATTTATGGGACTACTAACGTAAAATTATATCATTGTTATATCACACTATTGGACATTATTTGACGTTTATTCAAATAGAACATTATCTCACATTCAAATAATATACTAGTTTTTAAACCTCTGTGATTACATTTTATATTATTCATATTATAATAATTCTTATCCAAAGATCTAGTTTTCATGGTGCAAATTACACAATACTTTCACACAAAAAATTTGAACTTATTGTCTATTTTTGTCAGTTTCCAAGTAGTCCAATTAACAAATTCGATTTAATAATTCAATATACATCAGATTTTATTTTACCAGTTAGCTTGTAATATTTGAAAATCTTTTAATGAATAATAAATAAATTAAATCTATCGTAACTTAACAGTTTAGTACATAACAATATAACTTTTAACATGTAAGAATTACGTTGAAATTTTGATGAGAACACCTACAGTACTGGAATGTAAGTGGACCCAGCTGAATAGCAAAATGATAAATATTCTATATTCTAATATTAGCAACTAATGTGAACAATAATAATATGCTACTTAGTCACTTACGCTTGTTAACCTTCATGGAGGAGCATGAGCCGTTCATCAACATTCTCCATTCATCTCTGTCCTGGACGATCCTTTCGATTTGTTCCCGGTTACCACTTCTTCTCTCGATGTCTGTTTCCAGTTCTCAGAGTAGTGTGTTCCTTGGTCTCCCTTTTTTCCGCTTCCCTTCACGATTCCAAGATGCAGTTGGATGATTTACTCAATGTCCTATCCACTTCCAACGTCTTTCTCTAATTTCCTCTTCAGATGGAAGCTGGTTTGTTTCCTCCCATGGTATTCGGTCAACGGATATTGAGTATCTTGAAAAGACAGTTATTTATAAATGCTTGTACACTTCCGATTATGAATGTATTAGTTCTCAAAGTTTCCACTCCATACAACAGAACTATCTTGATGTTCGTATTGGAGATTCTGACTGGTGTTGAATGACAGTTGTTTTGAGTTGCATATGTTCTTCAACTGTCCCGGACTGAACACTGTCTCTGTGGTTCAGATATGTCCAGTGCATACAAGGTTCCACCGTTAGCCACCATCCAGCTCTAGTCAAAATCTGTTATATTTTATACGCCTCAGATTTGAATATATTAGCGAACTGTTTCGGTAAGTTATTTGTGTTCTTATGTATTATTAGTTAGTTAAAGAATAACTTTCACTAGTATACATATATTTTTCACATGAACGAGTTCCGATAATAAACGTTAAAGGTTTACTTTCAGTATAAAATAAACTGTATTTTCTATTTCATTTTCTCCCAACAGGTGATCATCGTAGATCCGGAGGGCACGATTATCGTCGTCACACTTCTGGACATATACATTCATCTGATTCACATCCACGTACATTTAGCGGAGGTGCAACACATAGTGAAGTTGGTGAAGGCGGTGTAGGCGGTCTTGTTGGTGATAGTCACGGTGGTCATTCATTCGGTGGTCACGAACAAGGCGGAGTAATGGATGCTACATTCATCTGGAAATTAACTAAGCTTGGAAGAATTGGATCATCAAGGCTACGATTTGATGATGATTTTGCTGATAGACTTAACTATCAGTATACTGGGGTATTGATGTTTCTTTTCATTGGTCTTATTGGGATTCGACAATATGTTGGTAAGTAAATCTATTTTATATAACTGAGTTTATGGGTCATTTTTAAGCCCTCTTTTTTACTTACAATGAAATCTGTAACTAAAGATCGATACCAGTTGTGATAATGAGTAAAAATAAAATTATTGCTAATTCAAAAGTATTTATGAAAATTATGGTTAATGGTTAAGGTACTATTAGTACGGGGTTGAGGAGATTATTAAGTTTTTGATTGAGATCATGAGCTAATTGATTTTGGACCACCATTAAAAACCTGGAAGCACTGGACAGCCGTGTCGCCGTATTGTGGGACTCCTCAGCAGTGCGCGTCCACGATTAATTAAATTATTGAGAATTAGGTAGTTATAATATTCAAGAATGTTAACCAATAAGTGAATGAGTTAAAATACATGTATTACATAATATCCGGTTGTGTAACAAGAGAGAGAGCGATGTTTTAGTTAACCAAGAAGGGGGATTTGTGACATAGATAAAGTCTGTTACGATAAATGCAGTCCATTTAAGCTGTATAGAAAATGAATGTACATAAACCGTAGATTGATTCTAATGGAATACCATGGATAACTTGAAAAACCTCAGTCACATTCATTTGATGCTTTCTGTAAATCCACTGAGCTGGTATAGACCTCGTAATTATTATTAATTGTTCTGCACTGATGTAAGTTGGATGGTATTCAATAATCCCCTAATAGGTTTATCTAATTATTTATTCAATATGACTAGACTTAATAGGAGCAAATAACTTGTGAAATAGACAAACTTTATCTTCATCTTTATTTATATGTATGTAAAATAAATTATCTTAATATAAATATTTCAAATTCATAATTATCTATATGATTAATAACGAATAATTACAGGAGTCATTCAAAGATTAAAGACAATATGCCAGTTTTAATGTATTAAAGATAATTCCACTAATTAAAGCTCACATTACCAAAAAAACATTATTTATGTCTAGTGCTAAGCTTTGTATACAACTATTATCTGCTTTTGTTAATAACAAAATATATGATATTTTGAACAGTTTAATATAATTTACATTCCACAGGTTGAAATCATGAGTCAATTGAAGCTAGACCAACATGGAAAACATGGAAGTACTGAACGGCTGTTTCGTCCTAGTATGGGACTCCTAAGCAGTGCACATCTACGATCCGCGCGAAACCAGTAAGTACTGGGTTCGAATCCCGCGGGGTGCGGGATCGTGGATACACACTGCTGAGGAGTCCCATACTAGGACGAAACGGCCGTCCAGTACTTCCAGGTTTTCCATGGTCGTCTAGCTTCAAATGACTCATGATTTCAACCTGTGAAATTTCTAAAAAATCTCCACAAACCCATTCTGATAATAATTTGCATTCATGAATTTAAACTTTCATAATCAAATTAGAGTATCATGAAATGAAGTAAAATCATTTCTTTTTGTACGTTCGTACTTAATAAGACAATTGATGGACAAAATGTTTTAAAAATGTCATTTTAGTGTGTAACATTTATAAATTCATTTAGTTTCATAGTGAAAAATATAGATGAACGAATTGAGCACGAGAGAGCGAGAGAGGGGGAGACCATCACGTAATCGTGAACAAGAAACGGGTAGAATTTGTAATGACTGAATCTCTATATTCTGAGTTATAACCATATTTCAATGAATTCATCTAGTTCAAAATAAATTTCTAGTATGTATCCGTCTACTGAGTCATTTCAGAATGCATTAAAAGTATTTACTTAATGACTTTTTAAAATCATTTACATTGCTTATCACTTGTATTAACAGATCCGTTATTGTCATTGTATACTAGAGAATTGTAAATTTACAATATTTAACAAACAAATTTCATTCTGTTTTCACAACATTCAGAGTATTTTGTAAAAACGACTAACTGGTAGTATAACCACACTTATTATAAAATGTTTAAGTCCTTTTGTCCGTTAAGCCTAACATATTATTACACAAATAGATAACTTTCTCATCATAAGTGTAACACTTGATGTAACTTTGAGTGTAAATGTTTTAATTTATTCATCTACAGTTATTCATAACGTTTTCGGGGTTTACTAATTGTGTCATATACACCATTTTGTGTAATTTCTCAGTTTGTTTATTGCATAGTTGCTGAATATTTTAAAAATTGTAATGCATATTTGATTTTAAGCTCTGAAGTTTATTATATTATAGTTTTCATCCACCTTATCAGTATGCATTACATCGAACATGTTCACAAGTAACATAGGCGGGACCCACTAAATTTTTGAAATGAAATCTTTAGTGGAAATTACACTATAATATGCACGGATTCTCTTCGCTAAATAAAAAGAAATATGACGTAAAGTGTCAAGTTCGATATCATTCGTGAACATTACAAAACGTTTTAGATAATTACAGGTTTACTGAACATTAGTTTATATAATTAAATTCATCGCCAATTAGTTGTCAATCAATCAGATTACAGCAAAGATAAATATATAAAAGGAAACAGAATAATACATTATTCTAAGACAAAAGTCAACAAGCCAATTCCAAAATTCCAGAAAAGCAAAAAAACAAGTTCCATTTTTTCAAAATAGAAAATGATAGACAAACAATGTTTAAAATGAAATCTAGTTGATCCTCAAAAACATTGTAACTATATATGTATTGCCGGTTACTTGACATCATTAACAAGTGAGAGAGAGAGAGAGAGAAGAAACTAACAATTAGTCGGATTCCTGTTTTGTAAAGAAATAACAAATAACTGGAGAAAATTAAAAAGACAGTCAAATAAAGTACCGTTTTACTACTAATTTTAAATGAGAAGTAATACTTTAACATTAGTTTTAACTCTTTCTTTTAAAAAAAATGACCTGATATTTTTCACTCCGTGATCTCACTGAATAAATTTTACCATAGTAAAGCTAACAATATCGGTGTTGGTTGTTAAGTGATATAAAAAGGATAAATCATTAATAATCATGTCGGTGTACTGAAATATTTGATAGAAAGAAATGAATAGAACGAGAGAGAGGGAGATAGAGAGAGAGAAAGAGGTAAAGTGAGTGAATAATTTGATATGAAATTGTAAATTAACTTGTTTTTTTTTCTTTATCTAACATATTTGTTACATTCAAAAGGAATGTATGTTAGTATTTTGTAAAGGAAGAATAATTAGTTGTTACCATCATTATTATTACTATTACTATTACTATGAGTATTATTATTTTCTTAATATGAAAAGTCAAGCGTGAAAAATTGTTTGATTTGGAAAGAATAAATCTTATTCATTTCAATTTATTGAGAATATAAATCATCGGTTGTATAGACAGATAGATAGGTAGGTAGATATTGTTTTCTGTTTAGTACATTCTATTCATTTGTCATTAATTTGAAATGATTTAGATATATATATATGTGTATATATAGTTATGAAAACGTTGAGTAGCAAAAGAAAAGAATGACAGAGACAGAACTAAGCTATACAGTATTGATATAAATATTTTGAAATTTATTTTATGCATGCATAGTTTTAATACATTTGAAAATGAAGAGACGTTGAGAAAAATGTTGAAGCTTAGCCTTAGAATCGTCAACAAGGTCTATCTAGACGTAAAATGTATTGAGGTTAAATAGATGAAGACAATTTACATAAAAGTCTAAAGATTAGTTAGTACAGTGTGTCTATAGAAATGAAAGGATATGTACTCTTTTCAGTGAGTTCAATTAATTGCACTGGTTCAGAGACATTACATTTCATATTGTTAACTGAAATCTGTATCAGTGTTAGTACGTCACTTATTGGTAGAACATATTCACGTCCTCACCTTCAGGTTTCGTCATGATTCATGGGCATTTAAACGACTTACTTGGAATTCAAAAGTTTACATATCAAAATTCAATCATTTTGTAATATTGAGTGACTGTCTTCCATTGCCTAAGGTGGACGCAATTCCAGAAGTTCTAGTGAGAAGCTGTGACTAGTAAAGCTTAACCATGTGAGTTATTCACTTCAAGTATAGAGGTTAAGATCTAAGCGTCCTGAGTTTGGTCCACTATGTTGGAATCATGGACGTGCTCCACCAAACTGTCCCACACTTGAATAAAATATCAGTTCCATATTTCCTGGTTTTAAATAGTTGTCTAACTATGATCATGCTGTGCTGTAAATTAAAAAAAATTTGAGAGATCTATTCTGAAATGCATGTACATAAGAAGACATTATGGAAACTTCTACGACACTGGAGTTTTTGAGAAGATTGTCAACACTATCTGGAACTCACACGAATTACTACAGTGCAAAGTGGTGCATGGAGGAGGCCTAACTGATGCATTCCAATTAAGGCTCTGAGTCAGAAAACGCCGTCTACTCTCTCTCTTCCTCTTTCTTCTGGTGGTCGACTGGATTATGGAAACCTCAACATCTGAAGGGGAAACACGGAATGCAATGGACAGCTCAGAGCCATTTAGGCGATTTAGACATCACAGATGACCTAGCTCTTTTATCCCATACACACAAAGAAATGTAGATGAAGACAAGTAGTGTAGCAGCAGCCTCTGCATCAGTAGGCTCCAACATACACAAAGGAAGAACCGAAATCCCCAAATGCAACACGGAGAACACTAACCCAATCACACTTAATGACGAAACTCTGGAAGATGTAAAATCCTTCACATACCTGGGAAGCATCATCGATGAACAAGGAGGATCAGATGCAGACGTAAAGTCAAGGATTGGCAAACCAAAGACAGCATTCTTACAATTGAAGAACATATTCAACTCAAAACAACTGTCTGTCAACCAATATCAAAGTCACAATCTTCAATACAAACTTCAACACAGTCAGTTCTACAGTACGGAGCTCAGACTTGCAAAGCCACTACAACCATCATCAAGGAAGTACAAGTATTTATCAAAAATTGTCTACTCAAGATACTCAACTAACATTGGCCGGATACCATCAGTAACAGCCTACTGTGGGAGAGAAAAACCAGCTTCCAGCTGAAGAGGAAATTAGGAAAAGACGAT